GACTACAGGAAGCCCGAGGCAGAGTTGCTCTGCCCCAGGCTTCCTGGAATCAGCCGCTGATCAGTTTCAGCAGCAGGTGACTTGGGGACGCCTGGGTTTCTTAAGTTGAATCTGTATGCAAGTCAGAACTGGCATCCAGATTCAGCCGCGGTTGAAACTGATCAGTTTCAGCAGCAGCTGACGCCAGTTCTGACTTACATACAGATTCAACTTAAGAACAAACCTACAGTCCCTATCTTGTACGTAACCCGGGCACTGCCTGTATACCTTTTGTGCTTTGGCAAATATCCCAGAGAATGTGCTTCCATGATGCTGATGCTTGTTAAAAAAATACAAAGTGTTAATTAAATTTGTGACAACTCCATGGAGGAGTATCACATATCTCTTGCTCTGTGTTCTACCCACATTCTGCCATGTATTTCACAGCAGATTTGACAATACATGAAGCAGGTACCAAGGAGAGATTTTTTTAATGATATTTACAGCACCAGACCCCAACGTTTAAGAATCTGAAGGGCCATCCAAAATTTCAGAGGGACGAGGTGTGGAGAATACTTTCAGCAGTCTTAAAAGAGCAACATTCCAATGTGGAAGCTACAGAACCTGCATTACCAAAAAAGAAAATCAACTTTCTGCTGGTGGCATCTGATTCAGATGATGAAAATAAACATGCATCGGACAACACTGTTTTGGATTGTTATCAAAGAATAACCATTTGCAGTATAGACACACGTTCTCTAGAATGGTGGTTGAAGCTTGAAGAAACATACAAATCTTTTAGTGCATCTGGCACTTAAATATTATGCAATGCTGGCTATAACAATGCCATGCAAGCAACTGGTATCACAAAAAAGAAGCAAGCAACATTATTTCCTGCAAATTTTCTGTCTGAGTGGACAAGAAGTAGGACCACGTGGACTTATAGGCTCTGAAGTTTTACATTCTTAATTTTTAATGCAGTTATTTTTCAAATAGAAGTCTACATTTGTATATTCAACTTTATATGACAAAATGATTGAACTACAGTACTTGCAATGGGGAAATTGAAAAATACTATTTCTTTTGTTCTTATAGTGCAAATACTGGTAATCAAAACAAAGCGAACACTGTACACTTCATATTCTGTTTTGTAATTTAAAAGATATTTGAAAAGGTGGAAAATATCCAAAATACTTATATAAATGGTAATCTATTGTTGTTTAACAGCATGACTAATCTTTTTTTTTTTTTAATTATGCGATTAATTAATTGCTTGACAGTCATAGTAATAAGAATGTTCACACAGGATGTTAGACTAACATAACTAGTTATTGGTTCAAATTCACCTTATCTAACACAGATTACAATTTACCCATACAGACAAGCCCTATCAGCTGAATGTGTGGCCCAGAAATTGTTAATAAATAGCAAATTTCTTCTTCAATAATTTCAAAGTTATTTGATTCTTCTTCCCTCCCATTTTTCAGTAAAAAAAACCTTTCAAATTATTTAGATGTTGAGATTTAGAAAAGGAAAGATGCTAATTATTCAACCTTCCTTAGGGCTTTGAAGACAAGCAGAATATCCAACTACTATTGCTAGTATTCTGTCTGGAATTTTAATACTATACAATAAAGGAAGTCTACTAAGGAAGAGAAGGAAATATTTAGAGGAAACCATTTAAAACATAGCAATTGAAGTTTCTCCCGGTTGGGCCTGGACAGGAAAGGGCAGCAGAAGCCAGTGTCATTAAGTGGGGATTTTGAAGATTTAGTGTAAGTAATAATACAGAAAGCTTTTAAAATGATAAACAAGCAATCTGTTGAGGATTCCAAGAACTTCACAAATAAGTTGTCAGTTTGAAGGAGAGAGGCCTAACAAAAATAAGTACACATTTTCAAAAGGCAATCTAAATAAAAATCAAATATTCCCTACCCTATATATAGGGACATAAATCAAGAAGGAAGAATTTACCTGATTAGCACATGCAAATACTATTTTACATGGTTTAAAGACAGAGGGCAATATTGGTAGGGAATCTGTACTGAAAGGACCTCTTAGAACTCAGTTCTTCCCTGGTCTGTCAGACTCGGATTTCTTCTGGAAACAAAGTGAAGCCCGTCTTTAGCCAAGTATGTGGGAGATGATGGGCTTGGAATACAGGTGGTTTAATCTGGGGATATTACTTTTATGGTTGGGTTGTTTCGCACAACAGTGATATATAGGCTAAGTAAATTACTGCTTTTAACATATGTGAAGTTTTTAAAGTGTATGTGTGTGCATGCACAAGTGTGAGTAGATGTGCTATAAAAAAAATCAAAATAAATTTTAATTAAGAAGTTACTTCCCAATGGCAATTGTGATCTTTGGTCCAGGAACCACAAGTGAGGTGAAGGTGATTCACTTGGCACTTTGATGAAGGGGAATCTTGTTTTGTTCGGTCATCATCTGCTCTGGCTAGGAGCTGTTGATGAGTTCAAGGGAGTACATACGAATAGCCCTAATGGTTCAGACCAATGGGTCCATTTAGTCCCGTGTTCTGTCTCTGAGGTTGGGCAGTGCCACATGTTTCTGGTCATTGGAAATTTAGGGACTCCCACAACATGGAATTGTGCCTCTCACCACTTTAACTAATGGCCATTGATGGACCTGTCCTCCATGAACCTAATTTTTTTTTATGAATAGTTATACTTTAGACTTTCATAAAATCCCATGATAATGAGTTCCACAGGTTGACTATGCACTGTGTGGAGAATTATTTCCTTTGTTTGGTTTTAAACCTGCTGCCTATAGATTTCATCTGATGACTCCTAGTTCTTGTATTCTGAGAAGGGGTAAATTACACTTCCTAGTCACTTTCTCCACATCATTCATGATTTTATAAAGCTCTACCATATCCTTAATTAGCCATCTTAGCAGTATGAAGTACTTCTTACTAGAAAGAGGAGGGTTCTTTTAAAGTCTCTTTTAAAAGATGGAAAAAGTAGCATCCTAAAACACATTACTTTTCCTTCTATGTGCTTCCAGAAGGTCTACTGATCAGCACATCACATTACTATCTATCTCCAACACAAAATGTAGTAAACTTTTCCTTTAACTGAATGGAGGGGGAAAGATGTGACAGGAGAGAGTAAGAATGATGAAACAAATGTAAAAGAGATTGGTCATTGAAAATAAAGTTGGTTCTTTTCCTATCTTACCTTTGCAAGTCTTGCCCTCTTAATGAGGTCATTGAGTTTCCGCACAGCTGCCTTCTGTGGGAGACTTTTGATGTCTTGGAAGAGATCCTGGGCTTCCACCTCAAAGAGCCTACGGTTCTCCGTATTTTGAAGAGGTTGGGACCAAAAAGAACCAATGTAGACTCGCAACACTTCTGGAGTGTTGATCACCTTTCCGAGGGACCACATGAGTGCACCATAGACCCTCATCAACTGCTGAGTGTCTACTTGATCAGCCTTGTTCAGCACCACTCTAATCTTGTCATCCTGGCCTCGGAATGATTTAATAGCTTCTGAAAATTCATCAGAAATATCCAGCTTATGGGCATCAAAGAGGAGGATGATGCGGTCAACCCGTTCAGCAAACCACTGGAGGACTTGGCAGAAGTCATAGCCTGAAGAGAGAGAATACACCATTGGAGATCACTACATTGATAACTCTTTATTAAGGATTGTTTAAAGGATCAACATGTAACTCAGTAGTAGCAGAGAGAGAAGATTTGAATTCTAAACTCAATTCTTAACCCTCATCTCAGTCTTTGGATTAGCAGCAGGCTGGGTACACCCTAGGAACAAAGGATTGCACTGTAACACTTTGTAGTCCATTAAGGAGTTCACATCACAATAATTTTACCCATTCCAAGGATGGCTTTAAGGGCAGAGTGGGTTACAGTGAAGAAAAATGAGTGGTGATCCTTAATGCTATCTGGGACACAGAACAAAAGGAAATTTAAAGCAAAAATATTTCAAAACTTCTTGCAGAGTTTACAACACTTGTTGATGGCCTGGCAATAATCCACCTCACTGTCATATGACAAACAGTACTTCAGAAATTCCTCCAGAAATGAAATACTCAATCTGCAGAAGGAGTTTGTGATGTGGCATTGGATTTGGCCTGACTGATTCATCTTACTTGAGTGAGGAGTGGGTGAACTAGTAGCCAGTTTTCCATCCAGGTCCAGCCTCTAAAATGAAGGACAGTCAAATCCAAGGATAATGGTAAGGAAACCTGAACAGAATCTTGAATTCAGCATCCAGCTCACCATTAAACTCTGATTTTTTACCTTCAGATATTTCACGGTATTAAATGGTTCTCTTTCATTTACTTATGATCATAGTTATCCTCAAAGTATTAAATATCCCTTCTGCATAGATAAGCAAATGATCCTTATCTTTTTACTGTGTTGTTATCCCTTCTCTATATTATTAATTTCTTATCTCTATGAAGCAGGTAACACAAAAGGGAGAAATGGTATCCATTGCAAAAGTCATTTCATTCTTCCTGAAATAATACCTACTTAGCAGTGTTTCCTATAAGCTATGCACTTGTGCGACTACTCAGGAGAAACTCCAATGCTGTCCAAATGATTTGCAGAGTGCCAACAGTAAGATTTTTTGTTTCTGGTGGCGTACATTCTTACATCCCTCAGTGCACATACAATTTATTCCACACGTGGATGGATGAAAATGTTAGAGGGAACATTGCTAACATCCACAGCATGGCTGAAGATGTTGGCCATCTGTAAAAAACTTCAGTAAATAGTCACAAGAAAAATAAATGCACTGAATCATTAGCTGTGATGCTTCCAAAATGCCTGCTATGAGCAGTCAACCAGCCAATGCTTTCCAATAGGAAACTGGCTACAGGCAGAGTTTAGGCACTCAAAGATTTACATGGAAACATTTAAGTGCCAAATCTCTAAATGTATTTTAGAGTGTCTGTCTGTCTCTGTGAGTTCATATGTTCAAGAACGCCTCCGAAATGGTAACAGCTAGAGCCATCACATTAAGTATGCATCTTCCTCTTCTCCTAAAACATAAAACAAGGTCGGGTTTGGAGGTGCCAGGACAATCAGAAGCCCTGGGAAAAGGACAGTTTTCCATACCATGCAAAGGGAGTGCTGGAACGCACTCTGAGTGTGGCCACTGGGAGTAGCAAGCCTGCTGGTGAGAGCTATTTCCTGCAGAGTGTCCATTGGGGGCGGCCATACCACCCAGGGAATGGCCAACAGGGCTAGGGCTTTTCCATCTTAACTGCCCCCCCTGCTCCAGACCCTTTCCCCCACTTCCCAGTCCTTGGCCGCAGGCCCCAAGCAGGCTGAAGGGTGGAAAACAGGACTCAGGCGGGCTGGAGGGAATGGCCTGGGCTGGGGGGAGAGAACAGATGCTGGACGGCCTCAAAGAGTGGGACAGAACAGGCCATGGGCAGCCTGGGGAGAAGGAGGGGGAGAAGAGGTCCTGGGCAGGGGTGCTGGGGGAGAAAGAACATGCCTTGGCCCCCAGCCTCCCACACCTTTCCCCCTACACATTCCTAAGGCCCTGCTTTGAAGGACCCGGGCAACGCCGAGTAAAGTCTGCTAGTTCTGCCATAAAGCACATAGCAGTTGCATCAGTGGGCAGAGTTTGGCCTTACGTCTGTTATTTAAATTATGACGTCCTTAAATTTGAAAAGTACCTAGTATAGGAAACCAAAAACTAGAAGCTCTAAAATCTTCCAAATGTTTGCCCTCTAATCTAATTCCATTAGAAATCTAGCACACTCATGCAAAAATAAGATATTAGAACTATGCTAAGAAACCTTTACTGAGCTCAAACCAGATGCTGTATTATATATATTACATGCTATATTTCATTACAATTAGTTGCATCTTTTCACTTACTCTAAATCAATTTTTTTTAGCAGAACCAGATGCAAAAGTTTAGGTATTTTTTAGAGTTGTAATTATTTCAAGGTGCAAAAGAAACAATTTTCTGCCTCCCTCCACTGTACACACTTTCTAAAACCCTTGGTGCCTTAAGTATCCACCTGAACCCCAGTGAAACCTAGGCTTTATCTACATGTCTACGTTTAAAACCTAGCCGCAGCAGCGCTTTGACATGGCAGTATGCTCCTGGCACCAATGCTGGGAGAGCATTCTCCCAGATCAGTAAGCAAGCTACCTCTATAAGGGGAGTAGCTAACAGTGCTGGGAGTTCGGGGTGGGGAGCGATTTTTTCACACTTCTAAACAAGAAAGTTACAGTGCAGTAAAGTGGCAGTGTAGACAATCCCTAATTTGCAACAGAGGAGTACAGTTGCTAACATCAAGGATTGGCCTCTGAGTGCTACACCAACAAAAAAGCAATTGTATCATCAGAGATTGCTGGAAACATAGGATAAACTTATTTTACATCACAGGTGATTTGTGGTAGCATTCAGGAGGAGCACTGTTCCCTTATACTCCTCCTAAAACTCTAATTGATACAAGGGGTGTCCCCACACACCCTTCCCTGGGCCTCCTCTTACAGACATCAGTCACCACTGTTTTACATATACGTCATGGTTCAACAATATCAGGCAGCCAAGATTTTTTTTATACTATGTCTGCTTCCTCATTTCATGTTAACTTAAGCAGTAAACTGTTGATGGCAATCCAGGAAGAGCTACTAAATGTGTTTTGTTGTCACTTAAATGGAAGCTACTCCAGTGCCCCACATCCTTCCTTCCTTTATACTTATTTTCTTTTCAGATTCTGTTGGCAACAAACACAACAGGTCTGAAATAGCTCAGCAAACATCACAACTTCTGGCATATGGCAAGATGCCCACAGTATACAACTCTTCCCCACCCCCACTTCATATGGCTATGTATTTACATATTCTGCCTCAAATCTCCTGCAAATTTAATGAGAGACTAGATAGCATAAAAAGTTTATGGAATCTATGCTTGTTTATAATGGCAGGACAATTGTGTATTCAAATAAAACTAGCTCTGAAAAGTGCCCAGAACCTAACCTTGGAAAGTGGAATGTAAATTTTTCTCTCTTTTCAAAGTTCGCTTAATAGCTTCCATTTTAAATTACAGTTTCTACATTGGATTTTAATAAGTCAACAAGGGATTAATTTTACTTATTTCCAGTAATATAGTAAGACCTGTCAAGTCTTTCTTGCAATTATGTTTGCATATGTTTATAATAGATAAACCACTCAACAAATGCTTCATAGAAAAAGAATAAAATCTTTAACTCTATGTTCTTAAAGCAAAGAATAGATTTCCTTCTGTAGTGCACATACACACACAAAATATTACGATGGTGGAAGGTTGTTGCTCACCATGTTGTCAGAACACAACCAAATTTTTTTTTCAGGAATGTCACTGAATTAATCAGACTGCCAATGTGACTGTTAATACTTATGACAGTGGATAGAGATCTCAGACTAGCCATCAGATGGTATTAAATTTCACTTAGCAACCTGAACAAGTGCGATACTTTCCCATCTAAGTAATTAACTTATTGAGGGGAGGGGAATCTTGGTTTCACAAGGGAAAAAAGTTTAAAAAAGGAAAAGTAGGAAGAAACTGAAAAACAAAAAAAGTTGTTAAACTCCTAAATTTTGAAATAATGAGAAGAAAAGTGACTCTTCAAAAAACAAAAAAAAAAACAAAAAAAAAAACAGCACTATGGGTGGGGAGATTTCCTGTTACGGAATGTGTGCTACTAAACAGTCAGTCAGTCAACAATCAGCTCAGAAACAAAAGGAAATGGCAGTTCCTATAGAGGATGAACTGGCATCTAATTTTAGTTATAAGCAGTTGGTAAGATAAAATACCAGTAATATATTATCTAAGGTTTGGACTGAAGTGACAGAAATAAAGCATGATTAATTAGGTCTAGCCAGTAATATATTATCTAAGGTTTGGGCTGAAGACACAGAAATAAAGCATGATTAATTAGGTCTATATAGTCAGTAATCTATTATATAATTGAGAGTTTGTCTGCCTGTCTGTCCATTTGTTCAAGAATTATTCCCCAAACTGTTAAAGCTAGGACCACCAAATTCAGTGTATATAAGGGTATGTCTACTCTACCACCCTAGTTCGAACTAGGGTGGTTAATGTAGGCAACGGGAGTTGCAAATGAAGCCCGGGATTTGAATTTCCTGGGCTTCATTTGCATATTGCCGGGCGCCGCCATTTTTAAATGTCCCGCTAGTTCGGACTCCGTGCCCGCGGCTACACGCGGCACGAATTAGGTAGTTCGGATTAGACCTCCTATCAACTAATTGATGGAAATTCCATTGACTACTTGATTAATCAAAATTTAACATTCCTAATCAGCAGGGCTCGACAAATTATACAATCTACTCGCTCGTGGCGAATAGATTGTAACCCGGAAGAGCCGGGTTCTGCGATGGACAGCACAGCTGGTGAGCGGGGCTCACCGTGGTTCGGCGAGCCCTGCTAATCAGCATGGGCAATGCTTACTCCTAAAGGTTTTAAAATACAACTTTTTTTTAAAACAAAGTCAGGAACAAGCATAAAGCATCTCTCAGTAGCTTTAATTCTCACACAACTAGCAAAACAAATAAACTTTCACTAACTTTCAGAAAGAAAAAATGTGAGGAGTCATGCCCTGAGTGACAAGAAGTTAATTTTCATTGCCCGAGGACAGTCTCCATAATCCACAAAGTGTACTCAGTTTGTTAATACATTTTAGATACAAATTCAAGAATACTCTTGAATCTTAGTACACAACTGAAAATTGTTTAACAAGTGTATATATAGTTTAATATCTGTTAAACTATTTTCCCAATAAGGTTTTTTTTTAACCTTTCTCTTTTAAGAAGCAGTTCACAAAGTCCTTGAGCTGCACTGAGTCACAAGTCTGTTCTGCATAAAACCAAATATTTACCCACGTTTGACAATACCATACTCAAAACACACCCAACAGCAGCTGTATTTGAACTGATTGAGCAGTCATTATATCACACATTGTGGCATGTATCTGAACATTCAGTACTGCACCCTCCTGTTTCCCTCACCAGCTCCAAGTCCTTTCCTGGCTCCCAAAACCAGTCACCTTGTGCAACCAGTCCTACCCTATCTTCCCTCCACCCCCTGCTGCAGCACTCAAATCCTGCCTCTCCTCCCCCAGCTCTCAGTCTTCTTGCTCAGCAAGCCCCAGTTTCCCTCCCTCCCTCTAGTCCCTGTCCCTCTAGATGCCTTGTTGAAATCTACATTCTAATCAGATGGGTTCTTCTTCCAAGCTGCCTGGTGACCGACAGAAGAGTAATCAAGACTGCAAAGGAAAAATACTTTCTGTTGTCAGTGCCAGTGAATGATCCCCAGCCCACAGCAGCCATTACTGGTAAAGTCTGGCTTTGCCCTGTTGCCCTGGGCTGGAGGGAACATGTTCAATCACTCTGTGGGGATGATGCAAGTGCAGTATAGACAACTCCAGGAGCTAAGAGAGGATTAATCTTGCTCAATCACTTTACTGGGATGGTGCACACTTAGTCTGGTCAGCACTAGAAGAGAAGCTTTAAGAGACATAAGCATGCTCAATGATCACAAAAATCTTCAGGAATTTGAGCTGCTAAAATCGGTAAGAGTCTACTGTGCACGTGCAAACTATCATTTGTTAAGGCCTTTAACTTGGCCAAATGTAGGTGGATTTCTCACTGGGGCAGCAAAAGGCACATCCCTGACACGAATCTAGCCTCCCTGCCAAATTTCAAGAGCCAGGTCCATAATGCTTCTTTTTTAAATTAAAATATTTTGATGTATTTGAGCACAATAAAAAAACCACCCACTATGAATGGAACATTGATCTTAATCTCTACAACTAACCCAAAAACATTGATTGCAATCGACTTTATATCCTTTGTTTGGCACAAAGACCCCAAAAGAAATAATTCACACATAGGTCTCCTTCATAATAATTGAACTGCACCATTACCAAACCACTGGAGCAAGTCCTCAAGACAGATTAGCAGAACCAGATTCACAATGCAGGAGACCAGGTCAATAGAGATAACAGTTATTTTGACTGCTTCAACTCACCTCTACTGAGGCGCTGTTTCTCTCCGGAAAGAATTCCAGGACTATCAATGATGCTGATGCTCTTCAAAACTTCATTAGGTAACTGAGCACACATGAACCTGCAAGGAAGGAGGAAAAAGTTACTTAAAGCAGCTCTAGCTCTTGAGTAGATTGCCTGTATAAATGCCCCCACTCTGGAGTGCATATTCTCATAAACAGAACATGCAAAGCATGTTTGTAAAGCAGTGAACACTGGGGTCTCAATATTGCTTACTACAGTAAACTTCCGATAATCCGGCATCTTTAGGACCTAGGGGGTGCCGGATTATCAGATTTGCCGGACTATCGGAAGGAGGGGCTATAAGGGGCCTGGGGCGGGGGGATGCCACCCCAGACCCCTCATAGCCCCCCCTTCCGATAGTCCGGCTCTGCCCTAGGCATCCCTGATTCAGCCGCTGCTGGTCAGTTTCAGCAGCAGCTGAATCGGGGACTCCTGCAGCAGAGCAGCTGGGGTGCTGCCGGGTTGGTCCCGCAGCGCCACTCCTCAGCGCTACTGGACCAACCCGGCAGCACCCCAGCTGCTCTGTCCTAGGTGTCCCCAAGTCAGCCGCTGCTGAAACTGATCAGGGGCTGATTCCAGGAAGCCCGGGGCAGAGCAACTCTGCCTCGGGCTTC